CAAGGCATTTCTGGCTGATCTTAGAGGAATGTAGTACCTGCTGTGGAATGCCCCAATTCCTCCTTGATGTTTGTGCCAGTAAGTACTCCCAGAAGTGAGAAGGAACAGGTGGACACATGAGGGGAAGCAATGTATGGCTGTGCTTTTATTTTTCTTTGACAAGAGAAAATGGAGGAGTGCTTTGTAAACCATCATGTACTGTTTAAAACTGTGTCACTCATTCTACAAACGTCTACTCCACCATGTGGTCTTCAGCAGCTAATGCTGATCTGCCCACTCTGTCTCCGATAAGAAACCTATTATTACATTCTCCTTTGTAAATTCTTCATTGAGTTGTGATTTTAAATAAGCAAAACGCAGCAAAAAATGCTATCTGGCTGAAAATACAACCAAATGTCATGCCTCATTACCAAATAGCCCTCTGGGTTTGGAAGAAACAAAAGCAAAAAAAAATAAAAAAATAAAAATAAAAATGAGAAAACTAATCAAAGTTAACTACATTGGCACAAACCACTGCTTACTACCTACCAGTTAAAGCAGAATATTTCACGTTTGAGCACAGCTAACTAGCTTGTATCATTTGCAATTGGAAAAGCCCTTAGCAATGCAGGAAAGAGGCACTGGATTTTCCTAATAATGCTGGTTTCTAGATGGTGGTAAGGATTTTGCATTATAGAAGCTTCTTCTGGCCTTCCTCTGCAACTTGCAGTCAAGCACTGTTGATGATAGCATGAACGGTGAGAAAACTGCACTAGCAGTTGCTAATGTACAGCAGGCGAACTGGACATAGGTCTCAGCTGTGTTGCCAAAGCATTGCATAAACCCAGCAGTGGAGTATAGCATACAGTTCTGGTCGTCACACCTCAAAAAAGACATTGTGGAATGGAAAAGTTGCAGAAGAGAGCAACTAAAATGATGACTGGACTGGGGCTACAGCGTTTGGGGTTCTATAGTATAGAGAAAAGGCGTCTGAGGGGGGACATGATTGAGACTTATAAAATTATGCAGGAGGTGGATAAAGTGGATAGAGGGAAGCTCTTTTCCCTCTCACGCAGTACTAGAACCAGGGGATACCCACTCCAATTGACTGTTGGGAGAGTAAGAAGAGAAAAAAGAAAATATTTCTTGACCCAGCATGTTGTTAGTCTGTGCCACAGGATGTGGTGATGCCTTCTGGCCTAGATGCCTTTAAAAGGGGATTGGACAGATTCCTAGAGGAAAAGTTCTTTGCAGGTTAAAAGCCATGGTGGGGATGTATAATCAGTCTCCAGGCTTAAAAGGAAGGTACTTCCAAATGCCAGATGCAGGGGAGAGGTATCAGGTATGTAGTTGTCTCGTGTGTTTCCAGAGGTATCTAGTGGGACCACTGAGATACAGGAAGCTGGACTAGATGGGCCCTTGGCCTGATCCAGCAGGGTTCTTCTTATGTTCTTATGCACTGGGATCCCATCCTGTATCTAATGGGAATTCCACCATTTTATAGCTAAAAGCAGTAGAACAAAGAAATGAAAAAGTGTAGCAAGAGTTGGACAGAGCTGGACAGAGCTCTGACTTCTTTACATGTTGTCATCTGCCCAAAGTAGTGCTGTGATACTACTGTAATGGGAGCAAGAGACCAAAGAAAGAAAGAAAGAAAGAAAGAAAGAAAGAAAGAAAGAAAGAAAGAAAGAAAGAAAGAAAGAAAGAAAGAAAGAGAAAGATTTACAATCATGCCTCAGTGTGACAAGGGGACAAGATTACATGACCAGATCCTACTGGAGTTGGGTTGTGAGCTATGGTCTCATCCACAGAGAAAATAGTAGCAGCTAGGCATTTAAGATCAATAGGCGGTCCTCTTCCCCCACTCCCCATATCTCTGATGTCATCCTTGATGACAGGAAGCGTTGTTCCCGAGGGAGAATCTCATATTAAGCCCCAAGCTGAGATGTGACTAGTTCAAAGTTCAAGGCTCATTACCTTTACCTGTGACAATTAGTCAGCATTACTAGTAATTAGGGTTATGCAGGTTTATGTTTTGGGACTACAGCTCCCAGAATTCTGTCAGTTGTAGTCCAAAACCACAGATCAGCACATCTAACCAATAAAGTTTTAATCAAGTTTTAACAAACGAAGCAAACAGTAGACTGAGTTTTCAGGAATTTTGTTTTTTTTAAAAACTGAAACACACTACAGTGGGGTCTTGACTTGAGAACTTAATCCGTATTGGACGGCGGTTCTCAAGTCAAAAAGTCTGTAAGTCAAGTCTCCATTGACCTACAGTGCATTGAAAACCGATTAATCCCGTAACAGGCCGTTTTTGTTCCATTTTGGTTTTTTTCTGGTCTGTAAGTCAAATCTCAGTCTGCAAGTCAAACCTAAATTTTGTGGCCAGAGAAGTCTGTAACTCAAAAAGTCTGTAAGTCAAGCCATCTGTAAGTCAAGGGTCCACTGTATAAATGAACAATCTTTGAAAAGTTCACACTAGAATGTATGCCTTAAAGCAGAACAGAAGTGGGATAAGGTGGGGTAAAACACAGTGCTTTTTCTCCTCATTGTCTTTTTTTTTCATTTTCATTCCCCCCCCCCGCATGTTTTCATTTTCAAATCTGAACCCTTCTCAGTAGCACAATTTTGCCTATTTGCACTGGCTGGCTATCTGTGGGGCATTTTCTCCCAGCACTGATCCTATGAAGCAATCTTTCCTCACAAAGCAGAGTGTGCCATTCTTTTTTGTATAAACCATGACCATGAAAAAGGATTTCTTTAACTCCTTTCGTTCTTTTGTCCTCATCTCTCTTACCTTCTGGGAACAGGTCTGTGAGAGAGTCTGAAGGCATATAGTAGGTGCAGAAAATAAAAGACAGGGGAATCAAAGGAAGAAAAGTCAGAGGTCTCAGCAATTTTCTATAGATGGAACACTCTTGAAAGCAAGGGAGGGCTGTAAGGAAAATAAGCAAACTAAAAATAAAGTACATCTTTGGGCATCATATTAGATCCTCCTCAACAATAGTAGGCAGCTGAGGGCCGTTTCAGGGGAAAATTATGTCTGGGAAGGGCAGATGGATCTAAACGCTGCTTTCACAAGATATCTTGTATTTAACTACAAAATACGCAAGCAGCATATCAGAGTGGATGAATGCTTCAGTCATGAATTTTTACCATGAAACTACTTGCAAGTGAAGGCTAATCCTTTCCAGGTGTCCACTTGCAAGTCTTTGAAGGGAAAGCCCACGCTGGAAACGGCTTTATGCCTTTTATGCCTGCTGGATGGTATGAGCCTTTCAAACTTGAGTGCTGGTGATTAGGTCCAAGATTTCTTTGGTGAAAAAAAAATCTGTGTAGGAAACCTCTGAGTTGCTTGCAAGGCGGATGCAGATGTGTCTGCTGTTGGGTTAGTGAACACTTTATAATTCTAATCTTGCTCCATTTGCTTTCTGCGCCTTCTTCTATCTCCTTCTGAAATTCCAACTAGTGGAAATCCGATACATAACCCAGGCTGCACTGTCCATGCTTTGGTATTGGCAGTACTGGAGAGGCAAGCAGGAATGTTGTCTCCACGCCACACTGTAGTCAGGCTTATCAGCTTTCCAGCTTCTTTGGAAAGGTATAATGTCACCACCTATGCCACTTAAAATATGAATATCTAACACTGCGATCCTATACGTGCCTCATCTGAAGTAAGACCCTTTTCGGTCAGTGGGATTCAACTCACCAGTGAATCAATAAAAGTGTAAAGGCTTAAGATAACTAAGGCTATATCCAACATGATGTTTGTGGCAGCATTAGGTAGCATTACAGTTTTGGCTCTGTTGCAGAATTTTGAATTTTTGTTTAAATTCCTCTAGCCGTGCAGCAGAAGTGCAAGGATTCACAGAGTAGAATAGCTTCAAGTTCCCCAGAGCAGTCCAGCCCTTTTCTCAATAACTGGCAGTTACAAGCTCAATGACTCATTCTGAAACATTAGGAACAGAAAAAATAAAGAGGTTTCATTATTTATAACTGAACAGATCAGAAAGCAAATTGACAAATATGACTGCTTTCCAGCCACATACTTCAACAGACTACAGAGAGGGAAAGGAACCACCTAACTCTCTTTGAATTCTGAGGCAGGGAAGGAATGATTGGTTAGTGCTGAATTGACTGGCAGTTGCCCCAGCCCAGAAAGGTCCCTCCCAGCCACACTCTCTAGAGGCAGCATGCGAGGTTGTAAAAATTCCAATGGGCCCCTCCTCCTTGAAGCCCTCAGGGTACAGTATCCTTAAAACCACGAGGCTTTTGCCATTCTCCACACCACAGATTTTTGGGTGTCCTAGGAGGGGGTGGGATTCTGCTGTTCAGCACTGAATCTGTCCCTAAGTAACTCACTGTGAAACAAACCATCATGCAAGATATTTCATTTGGGAAACTCCACCTCAGCTCTTCTGTTTAGAAACAGACTGCAGACCTTTTTATTTTACCACCCATCATCCCCCTCCTCCACACCGAGGCTTTACCCGCTATTAACTAGAGAATTATATGGCTGAGTATTTATGAAGTTTCTTTCTCTTTTCTTATTCCTTCTTCAGCATGTGGGTTTTCAATCAGAAAGAATTATAAGAACAAATCTCAGCTGTTTACACAGATATGTTTAAATAAAAAGAGGTAATAGGCATTCAGAATGAAAGCTTTTGCCTCTCCAAGAAGCAACGAAGCGTATTAGCAAGCTTGGTTCTTCACTGTTTACATTTACATTCAGGGAAAAAATTGTGACTTTCTGGCATTCCTGCTCCTACTCTGTTTGTTAGGATTTCTGATTTGCTTTCTAGGGATGATCTATTCAGCAGAATTGTGCTTATCTTGGTCAGTATTTATTCCAAGAAGGAAAGAGATACTGGAAGAGCAGTGAATGATCAAGTTTTCCATCCATAGTTGATGACAGATAGAGAGAGGAGCACAATTGCATAGTGCAATTTCATCACTGTGCTTGCTAACCAGGGTGTTGTTCTGTAAAGTGATTGTCTTCTGTGTATTTATTTCTACAGATGTTCCTTAATGGGCTTTGATTTAAACCGGCACTGGGTAGATCCATCTCCTTGGGCTCACCCCACTCTCCATGGTGTCAAGCAGCTCATTGTTCAGATGTACAACAATCCGGTGAGTAGGCCACCTTACACTGAAACAGTGACTCAATATTGGTCCGAGAGAGAGAGAGAGAGAGAGAGAGAGAGAGAAGTGTTCTTTCCCCCTCAGCCACACCATTATGCACTCTTTGAAAACTGTCCTGTTCATTCAAGAGAAAACCTGGGCCTTGCGGCAGTGATGCAGCTTTGAAAATAAAAGTGTTGCTAAATATATTAAATATTGCTCTTTGAGGAGCCTCGTGGCACAGTGATTAAACTATTGAGTTGCAACCCAAACTGTGGTCATGACCTGGGATCAATCCCAGGTAGCCAGTTCAAGGTTCACTCAGCCTTCTGTCCTTCTGAGTTCGGCAAAATAAATACAAAGCTGGCTGGGGGGAAGGCAACGTACAGGCTGTATAATTAACATGTGAACCACCCAGAGAGCGCTTTAAGCACTATGGAATACATAGCTGGCTGGGGGGAAAGCAATGTACAGGCTGTATAATTAACTTGTGAATCACCCAGAGAGCGCTTTAAACACTATGGGGTAATATATAAGCAGCATGCCTTTTTTCCATGCTTTCCCCCCCCATTTTTAACCTATAACATAGTTCTGCAAAACCAATTCTATGTTGCACAGATGAGCTGAACCAAGTTATAACTCAACTGTTGTAGGAAAATGATCTGTTGCAGCTCAGTGAAGCTGTTTAAAAATTCCCAAATCTCCCATCCTAAGGGATTACCAACAAATATAAAGTGAGGGAATGTTCTGTGTTTCTGTCATATTAAAACAGGTGTTTGAAACAAAATTTGTAATCAGTTGTGTCCATGGGAACAAGTAACTAATGTCTGGAGCTACAAAACAGGGCTGCAGCATAATGGAATAATTTTCAAATAATGTTTCTTTTTAATGCAGTGCTAATGCAGATGCTGCTCTGTGAAACTCAGAGCAGAAGGAAAAGAGCTTTTATAGATGTTACACAAACAGAGAAAGACACCACAGATATCCTTGGCCAGAGCTGCAGTGGTGTTTGAAGGTGCAATTGCTAGCAATCGGGGGAGATGGATTAAGAAGAGAAGAGGAGTAGAAGACAGACAATTATTGAATATGTGACATCAAAGTGTAGAAGGATTATTGAGTATCTGACCCAAGAAAAACCTTTCAGCATAGATGGAGGTGGATCTGAAAATACAGAATAAGTAACAGGCATTTGCTGAGGGGTGTAATGGGATTTTATAGATGGGCCTTGTTTAGTAACCTTCTTGATGCTCCATCTCACAGTGACAGGTCCCTTTTAAGGGAATGGTAGTACAGGCAAGGTAAATTCGCTATAGTTTCTCTCTGTCTTTCTCTGCCTGTTTCTCTTTGTGCTTACATATGTATGGACACATACATACAATATCCTTGCATGTATTACACATGACATGAGCAATTTTCTGGCTGTTCCAGAAACAGAGAAGCTGGTGCTCACATGCTAGGAGAAAGCTATCCGGGGCAAGGAACACAGGAAACTATCTCTTCCTCAGGCAGCCCATTGGCCTGTCTAGTCCAGTATTGTCAGCTTGGACTGGCAGCAGTTCTCCAGGATTTCGGGCACGATTCTCTCCTTCTCCTGCCTGGAGATCTCTGGTATTTCATGGTGGTTTCCCATGCTGGTACTTAACTAAGCCAGATCCTGCTGAGCATCTGAAATCAGGCATGACCAGTTGTGTTGAGAATGGCCTGGGAGTTTTAGGAAAAGGATCCCGAGAGTATGGAGGCAGGAGCAATATGGCTAGCTGAAAGTCCACTAGCTAGCAGTACGCAATCAGATCGTTTGGTCATTTTATGGCTCTGCCTTTGTTTTACAAGTAGAAGCTACCCCCACTGGATGATAATGGGATATAAATTCTGCAAGGTTCCTTTCCTTTCCTCTTTGCAGTCAGATTGTCAGCAAGTAAGTTTGTAAGACTGTATTTATGTCAAATTAAAATGGTAAACTGGACCAGTGATACTGAAAAAAGACAGGACTGCTAGAAGATAATTCCCATCCATGCCTCCATGGAAGCAATACCTGCTGCATTCACTGGGAATAACTTCCAGCTAAAGAAGTTTGGGATTGCTAACTAGCCATTATTCAGTTATATAACAAATTTAAAATGTAACTTGTTATGTAGATTTTAATTGGAACAGCCTCTTGTGAATACATGATGATATTGTGGTAAACATACTTTGTAAACAACACTGGATAACTTTTTGAATAGTAAATGTCTGAATGATGTAGATGAGATAATCTGTTAATTTTCAGAGTATTCTAATGCTGAAATACTGTGCTATAGGTGGAAACCCAAAGAAAATTTGCAGTGAGGTTTATCCTAACTTTAGCCCTTTTCTCCACTTGGCATGTTTTCCCACCAATAATACATAGCTGTTTCTGCATTGAGGCCTTACATGTTTTTCTCCAAGAAACCATAGAAATTTGGTAGAAGTTTGTTGGGAGAGATGCACACATTGTCTTTCACATCTAAATAATTTCTCCACTCCTTCCTTTCCTAGTAATCTGTTGTTGTTGTTTAGTCATTTAGTCATGTTCAACTCTTCATGACCCCATGGAACAGAGCATGCCAGGCCCTCCTGTCTTCCACTGCCTCCTGGAGTTGGGTCAAATCCCTATCTTCCTTGCATTTGGTTTCCCTTCTCCTCTCTGCTATTTGTAAGGCTTCCTTGGACAGCCACTTTGCTTTCCTGCATTTCCTTTTCTTTGGGATGGTTGTTGTTGCTGCCTCCTGTACAATGTTACGAGCCTCTATCCAAAGTTCTTCAGGCACTCTGCCCACCAAATCTAGTTCCTTAAATCTGTTCTTCACTTCCACAGTGTATTCATAAGGGATTTGATATAGATTATGCCTGACTAGCCCAGTGGTTTTTCCTATTCTCTTCAGTTTAAGCTTGAGTTTTGGTATAAGAAGCTGATGATCAGAGCCACAATCAGCTCCAGGTCTTGTTTTTGCTGACTGTATAGAGCTTCTCCATCTTTGGCTGCACAGAATATAATCAATCTGATTTCGATATTGCCCATCTGGTGATGTCCATGTGTAGAGTTGCCTCTTGTGTTGTTGGAAAAGAGTGTTTGTGATGACCAGCTTGTTCTCTTGACAAAACTCTATTAGCCGTTGCCCTGCTTCGTTTTGAACTCCAAGGCCAAACTTCCCTGTTGTTCCTTTTATCTCTTGGCTCCCTATTTTAGCATTTCAATCCCCTATAATGAGAAGAACATCTTTCTTTGGTGTCAGTTCTAGAAGGTATTGTAAGTCTTCATAAAATTGATCAGTTTCAGTCTTGTCAGCATTGGTGGTTGGTGCATGAACTTGGATTACTGTGATGTTGAAAGGTCTGCCTTGGATTCGTATTGAAATCATTCTATCATTTTTGAGATTATATCCCAATACAGCTTTTCCCACTCTTTTGTTGACTATGAAGGCTACTCCATTACTTCTATGGGATTCTTGCCCACAATAGTAGATATGATAATCATCTGAGCTGAATTCACCCATTGCTGTCCATTTTAGTTCACTGATGCCCAGGATGTTGATGTTTATTCTTGCCATCTCCTGTTTGACCACATCCAGCTTCCCAAGTTTCATAGATCTTACAATCCAGGTTCCTATGCAGTATTTTTCTTTGCAGCATCAGACTTTCCTTTCACTTCCAGGCACATCCACAGCTGAGCATCCTTTCGGCTTTGGCCCAACCACTTCATTAGCTCTGGAGCTAATTAGCACAAAGTCATCTACTTTATGCTAATTGATACTTTTCTGTACTTCAGCTTGTTTCCACCAATTCCTAGCTCTCTTGACCCGCCACCTTCCGATCTTCATATTAAGCTTCTGTGACACGTCTGTCTTGTAATACCTAAGAAGCACTAATATTTTCACAGAAGTGATACCGTTTGTCAGTCACCTGTCACATGCAAAACAATCATGTGACAGGTCAACACATTCTAAGAAGACTGCTGGACTGCTACGTAACCTTAGAACCGTAATTACCGCAGAACTGCAAGGCTAGAAGGGATCCTCTGGATCACTGAGTCCAGACCCTGTGAGGGAGACACAGTGGGGAACCAAACTCTCAACCGCTGACTTTGTAACCAGATTCCTAAACCACTGAGCTATCCAGCAGTTCAATCTGTGATTAGCTGTGGGTTTTTTCCTTTCCTTTTCTAGTTTCTGTGTCTTGTGGCTCAAGCTGGCAAATTCTGCATGCCCTACACTTTAGTCTGACATATCAGTCATATTTATATGAAAAACTGAATGTATGGTATTACAAGATGGACGTGGAAAAATGCAAGAAAGAGAAAGGAGAAAACCAGGGGAAGATTAGGCTGCTGGAGAAAAATGGCAACATTGATCACTAAAACTGCATTGGTCTCATGAAGTGTGACTCTTTCCCCCCCTCTAGAAACATAATGCTTCCCATCGAAAAGCCATCTTTCCTATATTGCTAAGAAAGCGTACTTCACACCTCTCCAAAACTCTTGAAGGGAAACTGTGATTGTTTTGCATGTGACAGGTGACTGACAAACGGTATCTCTTCTGTGAAAATACTGGTGCTAGAGTTACTGGTACTCCTCTTTTTCATGCATGCATCCTCTTTAACCTCCACTTGCTTCTGCTTAGATCTCAGCTTGCCCTTTGTAGGGAAGCTTTTCTTTCGAGGCAATTTGATATGCCCCATTTGTAGTTAATTTCTTTCTCCTGCATTGCCAGTGTAAAGTTTTACGACACCTGAGAAAAGGTCTGCCTGACTCCACTAAGTGCTAAACATTCCAACTGCATGTAGCCTTTCTGAGCAGTTATGGATTAAGCAGAGGGATTTTAGGTGGTGGCTTAAAGACTCTGCATGGAATTTCTATTGAAAATATTATAATTTTTGTCCACCGTTTAAACATCCTCAAAAGACTATTGCTGAGGTGGAAGCTTTAGTCACACAGAACATTAATAAGAAATGTCTATAATTCCAGACTGAATTTACCTGAACTCTCATGTATTGAT